TAATAAACACATTAATTACGTGTTCACAGTATTACTGGATGTCGTAAGTGCAATTACGGTGTCTGTAAGTAAAGAGAAAGCATAGACCGTATCGGCCATAACTGGACATTTGTAAGTATGTTAAGCTACATGTACCATTGGTGCATCGATCACATACACATGAGAAAAAAGCAAACAAATCAAACTACACAAGCAATTAGTCCTTAACGTGTCGGTGAGAGACCGGCTACAACTGTCTGGTATCAGTAACATATAACGGTCCTGTACTGAGCCAGTACTCAGGATTATTAGGTATATATGCATACAACAACTTACTGTTATAATGTCTTGGTACACAATTGAACAATTCAATAGTGTTGTTTGTTATAACCAAGCTGACTGCCTTGTGTTATTACATATTCATATAATAATTGAATAGATAATCAGTTTCCTTACCTTACTTTCTACATTTCAAGATCCGGATCATACTTTATTTGACTTTACTGTATCTAATGATCAATTTGTATGGGAAAGTAATATTCACTTGTATGCCTGAATTACCCTATGAATATGTAATTTGGTGATCGTTTTGTCTTGCTGTCAGTTGAATTTCTGTTCCGTATTTGAATTATTTGTATACGTCTGCCAAAGATACAAACGCAATTCATGTAAAACATCCAAAACACTTGTAGCACACCTGAAACATATGAAAATAGTATATACAGTAGATGTTTTCGACAGTGATATTTTTCGATGTTTTAGAGAAAAGGTACCATCTATTCATAACCTTTCTTTTGTACAATCTACTATGATTGGCGGTTATGAGCTATCATATGTATAATATTCTGATGATGAAATACATCGCACAGATGTCATTGCGACCAAGAAATGGATGATGATGATGATGATGATGATGATGATGATGATGATGATGATGATGATTTGTCCTGTCAGTGTCAGACGTCGCTTCTGAAAGATGTATCCATTGTATTCATTTCTATCGATAAAATTAGAACAGGTATACACTTGTTTATCCGACAGCGATATCTATGAATCAGCTGTTCCAAATCACACCATTGATGATCACTATAGAAACTAACGGTAAGTAGTATGAAAATGTATTACAGAAGATAGGAAATTGAAACGTATGTTAGATTCTGTTTATCACATAACTTCGATACAATTGCAAACAAGCGTGAAAATAATATTTCATCAAAATAATACAATAAATGTTATTATAAATCTAGTTTTCTATTTCTTCAGGGACATTTAAAAGATAAGAAATATGACGTCATGAAGTTATGAACGCCTATATCACTAAAACTATAAATAATTACAGCTTCTCCAATACGTCTTATATCTAGTCTAATATTATGTTTATATTAATAATACATTGTATTGATGTGAATACAGAGGCAGAAATGCCTGCGTTCACTATTATCCTATTAAATCCTATTAAAAATACATACAGGTATTTCATATGTGTAATAAGAAACGTTTTTTTTTATAATGGGTGCTATAACACTGATTACACGAGAGTTGTTTGATTATCATCAAAATAGTTAAAAAGAAAAATTAAGATTATTATTTTTAATGCAGATAATAATATTTTTCATTTAATAGTGAAACAATGATTCAACAAATTCATTGTCCATGTTTCGACAGAGGGAATATCACTCTAATAAGTAGGTAATTATTTTAATTTCATTGCGTTAATATACATATGTACCTGATTATGCATTTTGCATTTTAGACACTCGATTCAATATTGAAATTACTGAATCATTCTGTGTTATCTACACATTCTTACTTGTCACTAATCAATGTCTTTTTAACATTGTTTCCCCGATAGCATTACAACTTAAAAACACACTTAAATTTACAATCGCTTTACAAGAAAGATACCATTTTGATGATTTGTAAGTAAACTGCAGATTAAATTTTTTCTTACAATAATACTTCTGTATACCAATGCATTAGGTCATGATAAAGATGACGATTATGATGATGATGATGATGTACGAAAGAAACAAAAGTGAATTCCACTTTTCAATACAAATTTAGTGGTAATTAGATTCAACAGAGTCAAAGATGAATTAAAGGAATGAATGAATCAATATATAATAATGATTTTAGAAATATGATAGAATGTAGTGCTAAATTAACCAACATAATAACTTAATCTTAAATGAAACATTACATTACTGCCTTGTCATTGTATCCTTAAACAACACCATCCTACTGTTTAAAAAATTCACTTGAAGAACACCCCAATGTTACCTATAGTGTAAGAGGTGATTAAGAAGACCAAAATGATAGAAATTTATGCTCAAAGTAGACGGGTAGGTGCATCAGCCGCTTAAGTCATTGAATTTTATAACTTTCATATCTGATAATTTTAAAAATTCGTCAAGTACGTATATATATTCCTCACCTTATCATTATTCGAATGAACTGAAAGGGTAGCATGTAGGTTATGAGATTTACATTCAACCAGCATTGCCTACCACCTGCCAGCTGGAAGAATGAATACGAAAATACAAGAACTTACTATCATCATACATTTTCAAAATTGACAAAAACGAAATATAACAAAATTAAATTGATGATTTAGACAAAACATACACCAATATTCTGCAGACAGGAACGAAGGGCCCATTGCCCGTACGAAATCTAAAGGTGAAATCAGGCACTGGATTACTTAATAGGATTTAATAGGATAAAAGTGAACGCAGGCATTTCTGCCTCTGTATTCTCATCATTACAATGTATTATTGATATAAACATATTAGACTAGATATAGGACGCTGTATGATCGTACTTCAGTTCAAGATCTTTCCAGAAATCGTCTAGGTGTTTTTCAAAATCATGAACGTTAAGTGATGAAATTACCCATAGAGGGAGACTATTCCAAGTACCAATTATTCTTGTTCTTATTATTATTATTATTATTATTATTATTATGGTCCCTGTGTAAATAAATTTCAGCATTTTCCTGAAACAAACTTAACATTTCCTGAATCCATATCACAGACAAGAATTTGACATTAAGAAATCGCATCATGTTGTACTCATCGTAGAATGAATTATCTTTGATTGGAAACTTTGAGTACATATTCCAGAGATGAAGTTATTGTTATCTAATAAATGTATTTATAGTGAACTAAAGAACAGACACAAATAAATAATGTTTTTCAATCCAGTTTTACAAATAGATTCACAATAAGCATATAATCACTTGAGAACAAATTACTATTTTTACTACAGGTTATGCCAGTTACAAACACCATATAAATAACTCGACTCGAAATTAGTATACAAAATAGTTTACGTAAGAGAAGAAAAGAGGAGAGATCAACGTAGTGTTATTTTGAGAAAACAAACTTATAAGACAATGACAGCTTACCTTTGTTACGCATTTCACCAGTCAGGTTTTCGGCTAGAATGAAGCCTGATTTCTATCATATTAAGATATATTCTATTAGATAATACTAAATAAAACAGTTTCCACTTTTAACAAGTTACAATACTTACGATCACGTAAAAATATCGATGTTTTCTGTACTTTAAAACCTACGTTACAAGACAATGGAACAGATTCTCATTTCAATAACAAATAAGGAACATTTTTCGTACTTTGACCATATCTTAACGACAGTGATGACATGAACTGAAGACTAAAAAGTCAACATTGACAATGTTTAATGTCCCATAACAGTAAACATCCGGTCAGAGAACAGTGGACTGTCCTTAAAGTCTAAACTGACCATTGCCCTAGAGATTTGTAGAATATTCCCATATGCATAAAGTGATATCTTGTCTTAGAAACACATGTTAAACGATAAACACACAGATGTGCAGATGTACCTTTATGGTACACCTGGTACACCTGTTGTATGTATACAGGTAATTAAACAAGGGCTATACATGTCAATTCGTCATCGCTATAGTATTCTTACATATCCTTGTTTTATTGCGTTTTATTGATTTTTTTATCACTCAGTCATGCCCTCTCGTGCTTCCTGCCAGTGGTCACTGAGGAGGTGACTAAACACGGATGCTCTACTGACCACAACTCAAGCTGATCATCGCGGCCTTATATAAGGAAGTCCCATTCTGGATTTCAGTAGAAGTTTCTCAGCTTTCGGAAAGGAACTCTCACAAACATCCAATATGGTAAGTATTAAATCATTAACAGTATACAATGATAATAGGGGAAAAGTCACCAGTTGTTTGATAGAAAACTTTTTATTTAAACAAAAAGTTGGTTTAGGAAATCACGGTAATTCAGTACTGCAATTTGTATTTTTGATAATATCGTAGTTTTAATATTGAGTATTTCACAATACTTGACTATGTTTTGCCGCACAGTTTCTGTAAAGATTTGATACATTCACTGGTATGATATAAATTATCGCGTAATATGATGACAATAGGAACAGTCTCTGATACCAGGAAATAGTATATATAAAAATATTGATAAGACTTTATATAAAATAACAAGGAAATAAAATGGAAAGGAAATATCATTTACACATAATTATCTATATAGATATATATATATACTAATTAATAGGATAACAGAAGATAACGGAAGAACCAAAGAATTTAATGACTATAACGTGCTTATTAGATATACATAAATCTACACTTTATCAAATATTTACTTACATAATTATTTCTTTATTTTGGAGAGTTTTCTCGGGAGTCTACTTTCCTTTAATATTATCTGATCACCATTAGATGTATTAAAACAACTGTATACATCCTAGCTAAGATGATTGTGCTACTTTACATTGAAATTTCGGGATTCCCTAATAAACACATATCACAATAAGTGTTAAAACTGTTGATGTGATTATCAACTACTTAATCTATAGATAAGTATCGTGTGATATATAATTACTGTAGCACACAAATTGTTATAATTACACAAAAGTTGAAAGAATCATTTACATTTATGTTGCCATAGAATATCTAATCTTTCGGAATATACACAAAACTGGAATGTATAAACTAATATGAACGAGTATGTGGTAAAACCTACGTTTATATACGTATTAGAAGTATTTACACACGTATATGATAAAGGTACACAGCCAAAGTGCATAGACAATACAGTACATCGTTAACAACGCTACATGATACACGGTAACCTTTATATGTACAGCAACATACTAGTATGTAATGTATATCAACAACCAAAATAGTAATGTGAATGAATGTTGTCACACATTAATACAAAGACTTAATGTGATGACACACATAAAAAATACAGCATGGCATTATTCGTATAAAAATGAGGGAAACACTTTTCGAAAACGAAACATGGTCGGTTTAGGCACAGCGACATACTAGCATATATTATTTATAATATAGTATATATTTTAGTATATAATTCAGAATACATTATAGTATATTTATAAGAATGATGCGAGTATCTAAACGCCATTTACATATAAAAAGTGTCAATATCTATATCATTCGAACAAATACAATATATATATATAATATTAAGAAATAATATATATATATATTATGTTGATGTGGAAGGCTGATGGTGGACCAATAAATCTTTTGTCGGGCTACTGAACAAATTTGAATCCCATGATCAAGATAATTTCTGATTGTATCTTTGTTTCCTTTCTAGGCCCTGTTTCCTCTACTTGTCGTGGCTTGTTCGCTGTCAGCTGTGCTAGGTCTTCACATTCTCCCTTGTGAACCAGGCATGTCGGGGCGTTTAGGATGCGACATTTTTTTCTCCGGTCAATCACAGTCATCAAAGTTTGGAATCGAACCTGAATTTCGAGACCGAGGCTTGGGTGACCTAGGATTTGGTGATCGCTTTGGAGGAATACAGTCTGATCAGTTCTTTGACACAGGAGTTCAAGACCAGTTCTTCGATGGAGGAGTTCAAGACCAGTTTCTGATGGGTGGACAAGATCAGTTTATTGGCGGCGGTGTTCAGGATACATTTCTTGGCAATGATGGTAGTTTCGTGTCTAATGGATTTGAAAATGATTTTGGAGTAATTGACAATTCATTTGGTGGTGACCAGGGACTTTTGATGGACAAAAGCATTGGCATATCTAACGCGAGAGGAGACATGGGTTCATTTGGGATGCAGAAACTAGGATCAAGAGGAATGGGAATATCGAGCGGCTTTGGCAAAGGGAAATCCCAGGGAATATCCCCCAGTTTAAGTTATCCGAAAGGTTTATCGAAGAAAGGTCGTGGTTCCTCCTTCTCATCGATTGGTAAATCAGGACAAATCGGCTCAGGAATGTTGGGATTTGGAAGACAAAGAGGATATCCTAAATTCCAAAATAGCATGATTGGAATGAACAAGGGAATCTCCCGATCGTCACTTAGCTATCCTAAAGGTGGATGGACCAAGGGCGCATTGTACAAAGGCGGATGGACCAAAGGCGGAAGGAGCAAGGGTGGATGGAATAATGGTGGATTAAGAGGGTGGAGAGGAAAGGGGTATTCCAACTCCTTCAGTATGGGCCGAAGCTACAGCAAGGGAATGGGAAGGGGCCGTATGTCAAGGATGAGATCATGGGGTATGCCATATTCAAAAGGAATTTCCAGACCTGTCATCACACCCAGTAAAAGACGTTCCGGTGGCTACTAAATCACGATTTATAATCTAATAAATTATTTATTTATTGAATATTGTGTCTTTGCTATCTTTTATCATTTGATTTAACACTTTTACAGTGTAATGTTTCTTTTTTAATGCAGAGATTATTTATTAAACTAAAAATGTTTAATGGTTTGTACAAAAGGCGCAAGAGTGATAAGCATACTTTGATAAAAAAAATACGAATTAAGACATATGATAGAACTACCGCCTTGTAATATACTTAACACCGTTAGCGCCTTAGTGCTAGATTTGGATCTTTTATCATTCTATATGTACATGAAATCTAGTACAAACATCAATAATAATTGTCAGTACTGACTTCTTACAGTGACTTAGTTATTTTGAGAGAAATACTCTACCATACAAGATTAACTCGTATGGTAAATTGAACTTGTTTTTTTGTTTGTTTGTTTGTTTGTTTTTTTTTTTGTTTGTTTTTTTTTTTTTTTTTTTTGTTTTTTTTGTTTTTTGTTTGTTTTTTTTTTTTATTTCAGTCTCGAGTTTACATCAGATAATATTCCAACTTTTTCTATCTCTCTTGTTTTCTCAGCAGCAATATTGTAAATAATATGTGAATTGCTTTGCTTATAGAACACACTCTTTGTTTAGATCCGAATAATAATTAGTAATTATCATTAGTACAAAAAAAATTTAGTAGACAAGTTGTAGATTTATGGGACAGAAATGTAGACAGAAATTAATTTCCTCCAGGACAAACACTGTGCAGGAGCGGTAGAAAAAAATATCTAGGACAATGACTTAGACTGAAAACCATGCAAGTATAGGAACTGGAATAGATGATACTGTAATTAGATCGTCAAGTTGGAATTTTGGCCTGTTTAGATGTTTCGGAACATGGACTAACAGCTAACACGCATGAATGAGACGATATCGGATAAGTACGAGTTATCGTTCTTCCATCGCACATACTCCTTTACAGAACTGCGATATGGAAGGCATGTTGACCGCAACGTCTCAAGACGTCATAAATGTATTTGTGACGTCACAAGACGACAAGAAGGATATGGGAATACTTTTTTTGACGTCTCAAAACGTCATGAAGGATATGTGAACACTTTTTTGTGACGTCAGAAGACGTCATGAGTACACAAATTGAGTTCACTTCACCATATGTTACACGTATATGTATATTTCACCACAGACATATATTTGATCTTTACATATTATTTTTATTTTTTCGCAAATCAATGCAAGGAATAAGTGTTATTTAAGAATATTGGCTGTTTTACTTCAGAATCTAAGAAAGTGAAAGATGCAAAGTTGAGGCCAATTAAGATTATTTAGATATGAAGCAATCCAGTCGAGGTTAACAGGCAAGATGTTTGTACTGAAAGTTAGAAATCTGCTAGAGCTTGTCTACTCATAAGATTCGTTAACCTTTCATCTCACAATTTGAATTTTGAACCGCTGTAATTCAGGTGTTGTTATACCATATCTCACAATATGGTACTTTTTCATCTCATTGTTTAAAGGAACCGCTCACAGCCAAAAAGTAGATTGATTTAATATTTCTCCAAAAACTAAAGGTAACGCGACAAACATTATATATATTGTCTATAAAATAACAGGTACCAGTTGGGAGGTGTTTTTAATCTATCTTCATAATTAACAAAATAACTATCTAATATCCGCATTTTATATTCATACAAGATCTTGGTTTTCTCAGTAATAATATCTATCTTTCAAACATTGAAAAGACTTAGAAATCAACGACCTTTACCTGCTGCTCAATATACCGGAAACGAAGGCAATGTTAACTTTCATATCGTGGCGCCATCTTTGTTCGTTATAGTCGTTAAAATTATAAGAGATTTCGTTCCTAGAAATTTAGTGATTTTTCCTCTGTTGTCATGGCGACATGAACACTGTTCCGTAATTCAAGTTGTTGTTTTTATTGTCATGGAAATACATCACATGATATAACGTTCCGATTATCATGGTAGGATCCAGGTCTTGAAATGTAAACCATTCTGTAATTTGTCTTAATTATAAAAAAAAAATCGTCATCGGAGATAATAAATGTTTATGGCGGTTGAAGTGAACAAATATAAAGATATATACATATCAACGATAGGAGATTCTAACTAAGGGTGTTGGGTATGTGATACGTGATTATTTCTTTTGGGATTTGGGGTTTACAATTAGAGACTAAACAGAGTTACCTCCCTTCCAGTATGTGTTTGTTTTTTGACTGACTGAAAACATGTACTCTAGTGGAGAAATAATCTCGTTCAAGCAGACTCGAAGATTTTCGATTAGATAAGCGACTGGTTGATCGAGACTAATAAAATCTGCTACCTGTTACTGAGCGAGATCCGGGTTTCTCGCACCTACTTTTCTGAAAATTATTCGATATTTCATCAGAGTTTGGCGTATCCAGTGGGAGATTAAACTACCCACACAACCTCTTCACTTTTAAACAACGTTTGGATAGTGCCCCGTAAACAATGTAGGCCGCACTTACAAAAAAATACAACATATTTTACAGTGAAGAACTTATTTTATCTATAACATCTGGAATGTTAACAAAATAAAAAAAAATATCTACGTTTTTGCTGAAATGCACATGTGTAGATATTACCTATGCCTACACGCGGATGAAAACAGCGATTGGTAAAGAAATTCTTCGAAAACAATCTAGGATGGGATATGACGTGGGTTATCCCTGTCTGAGGTGCGAGAAAAGTAAAGAAACGGGAGAAATTGGTTTATTGTTGCCTGCCGTCCTATCAACAGCCAGGGTCCTTTAAGGACCCGCAGAAATCCCACCGACCTGCAGCCAGTATCTAGCGACTGCTCTATGATGGCCTCGAATCCTCGACACAGAGGTGTAAGGCTAGTGATAAGGACGTAGGGACGAGAGGCTTAACAACTCGGCCATCACAAACAGCGATCAAATATTGTTTTTGGCACATGCGTGCATAAATACCATAATGCCTTCATATTAGGTAGGAGAATAGAACCTCGACCGTCAGCATAGTTACACATTGTGTAAACAGGTATTTAAAAAACAATACACAATGACATATATATACCAATTAATCAACTAGTACATGTTTTTGTCGTCTGGTGGACAAACATTGACAAAGCAATGCGGATTCTTCAAATTAGGAGATTGTTATCCATAAATATGAATATTGAAATCGTCTGTTCACTATGGCTCTCAGTGGTCAACACATGACTATACCGACGTGTGAGTCATTTCGAACTACTCTGATAGACTAGTGACATCATTGTGACAGTACGGAGTTCCATATCCACTTCAGTACAGATATGTAAAACAGGTCTGAGATAGTGAATATGTCAAAGGATAAACGATCGCCTGACATTTCACACACACCATTAGTCACTGGAGGAATTCAATTGTTTTAACAAAATGTTCCTGCTGTCAGATTAGAAAACACTTATAGACTTTCACAGCTAGTATCTGTCAAGTGTTTCTATATAAATAATGTCCGTGTATTGTCTACCGACCGTCTTCGTACAGCGTGGCTAGGTTATCACAGTCCTTGTTTTCATGTGCAGTGAAATTTGACATCAAAATTTTTCTACCTTTTTTTAGTTTTTTTTTATGACGGTGACAGTGTATAAATAAAGAAAATTCTAAAACAGAAACTAACTCACACTTAACAAAACACTTGTTTTGACAATATATATAATCAACTACATTTTTTCACAAATACGTATCACAACATGATATTCAGTTTTCAAATAAGTAGAATTTTGCAATTTATTTTATGTCGAATAATTTCTTGATATCATTAAAACCATGATACTTTCATCTCATAACACAAATCAAACTTACCAAGCTTATTTTTACTGTAATCAACCGTTCTTAAAGCATTCTAAATATAGGTTTTTAATTAACCCCCATGGAGTACCTAAGACGGTGTAGTATTTCTACTACAGATTTACGGTACAAGTTGCTATATATATCAGAGATGGTCCATCAGGTTGGTAAATGACCCCGTCAGAGGAAGTCCAGCATCAGCTTACGATTTGGCGACACAGAGCAATCAACAGGCTGCTGAAATCTACATCGTGTTGTCACCATTAACACGTTGTATTCATACACAGGATATGAGTTACTACCAACGAAAACACACACACACCCTGCAAGTGTTTTTTTTAGGTAATTTTCATTTTGCATACATTGTCTATATCATCTTAAGAACACCCAACCCTTTTCCGACACTGTTTGTGTTCCAATATTCCTGAAGAACCTAACGAAAATACCTTGTTATGGTCGCTCTGTGTCCGCCCTATTTCCGCCATTTGGACAAAACACACGAATGACTCAGATGATTGCATTAGTTATCTGTATGGATTAACCGTAGTAGGTGATAATAAGTAATTGGAGATCGTGGATTTTTTAACAGCAACGCAATATGACGCGAAACAAAATGCGTCATATTTTAGATAATAATAAGTTATTCTCCGGCAGCACGTAGGGTTAACGATGAACAAGAGGGCTAACACCTTCAGACTAGTTTCTCTATCCGAGTTTTTGCTTATCTCAGATCAACTCGACAAAATGTACGAAGGAGGGTTCACTTGGCTACTGTCGAGGGATATGGAACACCGCTCCTCTCCCCTCCCCTCCATATTCAGCAACGAAATAAAATAATTCCACTTGAAAAATTATAAAAAAAAATATATGAATACCTATTGTATGCAAGATATGCCATCCTTTGTATTTTCTTCAAAATTTCTGATAAATGCATAAATTACGTATTGGTAACGTAGATAACAAAATACTGCCAAAACTTAAACATTTGAAAATTTAATACAAAAGAAAACAATACCAATAGAAAGTCATTTACTTACTGGAGCCAGGTTCATTAGATTGGTTTTTAGCAGTCGAGAGTTTAGAACAGAAAACAGCCCTGAACACGAGATCAATGCTAGCAACTGTAAACAGAAATCGTTGTCATTTAAATGTCACATTAGGAAAATGTGACAGCCAT